GCGCACTCACCTCCGTGCGATCCGGTAGAGCAGCACGCCGGCCGCGGCGCATGCCGTGACTCCCAGGCCGCCAGCCAGGCCAGCAGTAGGGCAGCGGGCCAGCAGTGCGCTCACTCCCTCCATGGTTTCCCGCGCGGAAGGACTGCGGGCTGCGGCTGGGCCCGGGGCGCGGGCCGCTGGGTGGACGCGGGTCGCAGACGCGCGCCTCCTCCCGCCGTGACCTTCGCTGCTTTGTAGCCAGCGCGGGCCCGCCCCCTGACTCGGCGCGCTCCCGCCGCGCAGCCAATCGGGGTGCGGGGCGAGCCCGGGTAGGCGGGGCGCCGGCGGAAGCGGCAGCGCCAGCTCGGGCGCGCCCCCCCGCGGCCGGAGGTGAAAAGTGGCGTGCGGAAACCGGCGCTGAAGCCCCGCCCGGTGCAAGGCGCAAGAGATCAAGCTGCGTGAAGTCTTTCCAAGCTGCGACTAAGGGGAGCTCCTGGGTTGTAAGCGGCCGCCTTTGTCCCGCTAATCTTGTCTTCCTATAGTGGACAGACTAGCCAAACCTGGGCCTATGTGCTAAGCGCTGCCTTGCCGCAAATTGCAGGTCCTTAAGCAACTGCGATGGTTAAGAAATTAGCCTATTAGAAACAAGGACGACCATGGATGGGGACAGCCATACTTCAGAACCTAATGAAACCATCAGAATGTCAGAGCTAGAGTTATTGGCATGGAGGGACTACACATTGTTCTTAAAAAAGCAACATGCAGGCCAGATGCGGTAGCTCGTGCCTGTAATCCTAGCACTCTGGGAGGCCAAGGCAGGTGGATTGCCTAAGCTCATAGGTTCAAGACCACCCTGAGCCAGAGCCAGACCTCGTCTCTAGAAACAGCCGGGCGGTTCTGGGGGCACCTGTAAGTCTCAGCTACTTGGGAGGCTGAGACGAGAAGGTTGCTGTGAGCTATGACACCACAGAACTCTACTATGGGAAACAAGGTGAAACTGTCTCAAAACAAACAAAAAATCCCCAAGCAGATTGATGTTTATAATATTCAAAGTTTGAATAAAGCCTTATGTGTTTGGGGGAAGTAGAGAATGGTTAACACTAAACTGCAGAGTGATCACATGATGAGCGGGATTAGAAGGGAACAACATTAACTGTGTTTCCTTAGTGAGCTAAATTCCTAATTTAAAAAATAGAAAAATGGCTC